CAGCGCATGGGCTACGCCTCCTCCTCCTCTCACGGAGATGTGTATAAGAGACAGTATATATAGTACACATTTAGTTTACAGGACTTGCGGGCCTCTAGGCTCAGATTCAAAATGAAGGATGTCAGCCCATGTGGCCAAATGGAATAGCGCACCGGCTAAAAACTGTCTAAAAGCAGACACTGAGTTCGTATCCTGGGCCGAGGTCCCACTACCGAAGGGGGTTGGATTGAACGCCTGAATCTGGACGTGTTCGTGCAAAGGTGCAGAATACCGAGCTTGAACTGCTTTTCTGTATCTCTGCATGAAACACGTCCCGAGTCAGGAGATCAATCCAATCCTCTTCGCTAGTGGGACCTCGGCCCTGTTGATGGGATCAGAGTCATCGGATTTATAAAACAAGAGCTGCTCTGGAAATAACCCACCCGAGGGTAATTCCCACTAGCCAGGGGGTTAGTCTTTCTTTCGAATCATTTTAGAGCTTCTATGGAAAAAAATTACCCACCCGAGGGCTCTAACTCACGAAGGGTGATTTATTTCCCCTAATATCTAGTACCTCGTTTTTTCGTTCCCTAAAACCCCTAACCTGGAGACGGCCGCCCTTGAAAGCTTGAACTGAAGTGCTGACCGCATTGGACCAGGGACAGTGGTTCTGTAAATTGAACTAAATTCCCCGTTTCCAAGCGTCCAGCCCTTGAAACTCCAGTGACCTGACCCCCCAGGCTCCCTTAGGCTTGAGATTTTGGTTGTTTTGGCTGGGCCCCATTTGAGTTCCAAGGGCGGACCCTTGAGATGCAAAATGTGGAAACATTCCGGACATCCAAATAGATGGAATTACGGAGGGGTGGAAAGATGCTTCCTTGAAAACCCTTGAGTTTCAAGTGGTGTCAAAAGAGGACATTAGTCCATGTTTTCAATCATTTTGACGTGGCGCAATGCAGCCGTGCGATGTTGAGATCGGATGGTTCGGATGAAATTAACCCCTGCGTCCTGGAACCCAAGCCTACCTGTCTTGCCCGGAACGCAAAGTACCCTTATCACGACTGTATCCGGCCTTAAAGAAAGCTTGTATACATTCGTAATGAGGGTACGTTGTAATCAGGGGAAGACGGTAAACCCGGGATTCGGGGAAAACCATGCTTGTCACAGACCTCTTTCTCCTTTTTTTTTTCTTGGCAAGAAAAATCAATTGATTATAAGACTACGGTACCTCAAGGCAGTTCGCCTTCTCAGAATTTAAAGCCAAAAAAAAAAAAAAAAAAAAAACTCAGTTTTGTCCTTACGTAAAAAAGGTTATAATAATGATTATCTGTTAAAGGTCATACTAATGATTATCTGTTAAAGGTCATAGTAATGATTATCTGTTAAAGGTCATACTAATGATTATCTGGTTTTGTTTCTCGATAATTTGTGTCATCCTAACGCAGGGCCCATGCTCAAATCTTCTGTGTATCGTTCCAATTTGAACGATGTCCATTTAAAAAAAAAAATTAAAAAAAATTGGGTGATCTTAACGAAATCCAACGTGATTAATGCTATAGCCGTAAAATGATTAACAACCTGGCGCAGTCCCACTAGCAAAAAGGATTGGATTTAACAGCTGAATCTGGACGTGCGTATGGAAGAGATTCAGAAAACCACGACTGTCCTCCTTTTCTGCATCTTGGCTTAAAACCCATCCAGATTCAGGCTAAAGACACAACATGAAGGATAGCTTAAAACGGGCCCACTTTCCAACGTCCCTTCCAACGTCCCCTCCCTGCAGACAGAAGACATAAAGCTATACTGGGGGGGCAGGGGGTAAAGAGGTCCTCCTTTTCTTCATCTTGGCTTAAGACCCATCCAGATTCAGGATTCCTAATTCAGAACACATTAGGCCACCCAGAATGCCAACAAAAGAAACGAAAAAAAAAATGTATTAAAAATGAAAACGAACTCAAGACGTCAAACTAAAAGACAAAACAGAGCGCACATTCGAAAACACCGGGTGCATGGCCCCTGCTCATTCAAGGATTACACGAATATGATGATGAATCGGGAAACAGTTCATCCAGGAAAAAAAAAAAAAAAAAAAACGTTGGAAGTCGGGACCTTTCCCTGTTAGACTGTGGGGACCACAGCACAAGTTTTTCTAAAACATAATGAGAAAGGTTTATAATCAAAGACAAAACAGGAAAAAAAACAAAGGAATTTCGACCAATACAGAGAAGGGAGGATTAACATGGCCCTTACGCTAATATAATGATAAATAGGGAAAATCAGGAAAAGAAAAACAAAAAACAAGCCTTGGAAGTCGGGACCTTTCCCTGTTAGACTGTGGGGACCACAACACAAGTTTTTTCTAAAACATAATGAGAAAGGTTTATCGTCAAAGACTCTATTAGACTAAGTTGAAACCGGAACATTGGATTTCCAACTGCCATACCCAGCATCACAAAACTTTTCCTCTTTGGGAAAGCAGACAAATTAAGTTTAACTAACAATGATGCCTTCACGTTTTTCAGGCGCGCCATCCAGGATGAAAAGGTCCTTTCTCTTTATTTTCTCTTCCTTTTTTTTGTGGGGATTGGGGCAAGGGCAGGGGGCTCTCACTCTTTTTCTCTTTCTCTCTCTTTTTTTTTTGTTTTGTTTTACTTTTGGGGGGGGGGGGGGGGGGGGGGGGGGGGGGGGGGGGGGAGGAGGAGTTAAACTGCCATTGAAAGTCGTTTAATTCCCTCCTACACCCGTTAATTATGTGTGTATTGTCATAATGTACACATCT